AAAAACGCATGATACATAAAAACTAAATGTACCAGACGTTTGCCTGAATTAAAGACTAGTTTATACCCAAATTCAAAAATTCGTCTGAAGGTACGAATAGGGGGCCCCCAAATAAACCTGTGCCAAAGGGTCCCTAATGCTGTTAAAACGTCTCTGGTCTTCTGCACCAAACTTTAGGATGTACACACTTATCATACCGACCATTCATTCTAGAGTTGATGATTGGAGGAAATATATCCTATCACGTTTTTCAGTCATTGACAGTTGATAGGTTGCAAATATTTTTTCTGATATTTAACTATGAAAGAATCAGATTATAATGGTCTCAAAACAGCGCTGTCGAAGTTTGCAGGAAACTATGACTACTCAGTGTTACTTTTCTATTTGTAGTATTAAATTATTAAAAGTAGAGTAGAAATTTTGTTGAATCTTCTGAAAAATTGAAATAAAGAAAATTTACAGATACTGGGAACACCTACAGAAGAAACTTGGTCTGCTGTGACTCATCTGCCAGGCTATAAACCCCATAAACTTGGTTTCTACAGAGGTCAAAAAGTAGGACTGGCCTTCCCCCGACTGTATGATGTCATGGAAGGTGAAAATATGGCCTCTGCACTGTTGCAGGTATTTGAATTGTTGTTTGTCAACTTATTTATTCTCTACTCTTTTGTTTGTACATATGAATCTAAATATCATGATGAGTCAGTTTGTTAGGCGCTAGAAATCCAAAGTAGGCTCCCGAAAGGTAGCAAAAAATGAAAAGTACGCTCCAGAATAGGCACTTTAACCTCTTTTTTATATATATATAAATATATATATATATATAAATATATATATAAATATATAATAATATATATATATATATAATTTTCAAATAAATACTGACATTATATGTGGCCACTTGAGCTATGATGTCGTAACTAAACCCTGTTGCTAGAGCAAGAGGGGCACACACACCCTCATGTGGCAAAGACCCCTCCCAAGGACACAATGTGTGTGAATGTTAATATATTTTACAAATAATATGCAATTAAATTAAAATATTGAAATAATGCCTGGTTGCGATAACTACAATTGTTAGGACTTACTTCCTACTAACAATCTTACATCCTTTTATAGAGTTTTCTCACCCAATTGTTTTGAAAGTAAAAGAGATGCAGCGGACCTTCTAATCAAGTAACATTTGTGGATAGTTGTTAAAAATTATCCATTTTCTCAAGACCAATTATTAGTTTATCTCCATCAGAAATGTTTTGCATTTCCTCTCCTCTCCTCTCCTCTCCTCTCCTCTCCTCTCCTCTCACTTGCTCTCCTCTCTCCTCTCTCGCTTCCCTCTCCCTCTCTCTCCTCCTCTCCTCTCCTCTCCTCTCTCTCCTTCCTCTCCTCTCCTCTCCTCTCCTCTCTCTCCCTCTCTCATCTCCCCCTCTCTCCTCTCCTTCTCCCTCTCCTTCACCTCTCTATCCTCTCTCCTCTCTCCTCTCTCCTCTCTCCTCTCTCCTCTCTCCTCTCTCCTCTCTCCTCTCATTCCTTTTCTCTTAGTCCAGCCTAGCCTAACCTATGTATGTGCAGATTCACAATTTTCTCCCTCAAGAATATGTATCTATGATAATGTAGAAATAGAAAGACACCAAAAAATTAGAACTTTTGGAATTTTTTAAAAAATCAGGAATTTTAATGACAATGTGAACAGCACCAGTCTCTTAAGCATCCTTTACGCTCTCCGAGGACAAAGTTTATTCAATCATTTCAGAGTTATTTTTGGAAAAAAAATTGAAAATGTTAGGGCTCCATATAAAGTATCCCCCAAAATCAAAGTATTCTTTTCAATTATCGTTTTCATTACTGAAAGAGAGAAAAAGAGAAGTTTAATAAGAACTCATAAAGTATTGAGGGTTTTGCAGATTTTGTTGTTACTTATTTAATGAATGTATGTATTTTTCTAATGAAGTATTTTGTTAAATAACTAAAGGAATATATGTCTGGAAGATTGCTTCCTCCAATTTAATTAAATTTTGATGTGTTTCGCTCGTAAGGAGACAGCAAAATGGAGGGACAAAGAATGCCACAACTCATCTGGCTTCAGCTCTGATCAGGGAGCTAATTATTACTTTGGAGGTCTGTGGCTCCCTGCAGGACTGTACCAAGGATTTTCTCTGAAGAGGGACTCAAATTTCTGGGCAGAGATCAAGGAAAAATTTTCAACCCACATTTTTCCCTTAAATATGCAAGGAATATAATGGGAATTTACCTCTCTGCCAGAATTTTAAAATATTTAAACCTAAAAAAAAAGTAATGATTGTACACATGTATATGAAGATACGGAACAAATTCCATGATACTTTAAATAACCCAACAAATGTGATTAATAAGAAAAAATAATGGGTTGGGAATTAATCAAAAGAGTAGAATAATGACTCCTTGATAATATACTTAAAACATTTTCAAGAAAAATTCGCTAGTTTCGACAAAAGAAATTAATTTATGAATTCCCAACCCCTATCATAGTTTGCAAAGGAAATTAAGATAAAATTATGTATTTATATTTCTCAAATTAATTTATAATGTGTAATATTCATTTTTTTCATCCCCTCAGATTTTTGAGCGGAGAGGTTCCGAGAGGAGCTTCTCAAGCCGAGTGCAACTCAGACCATTATTTGTTGAAATCAAGAGTATATGTTCCTTATGTAAACAAGACATAGCTATCGAACATTTATATCTCATCCAGTACCATAGAAAAAATAGAATACAAAATGTGTTCGCTTGAAGATCCTTCTATATGCTTCCTATACAAGCTCAGATTCAGTAAGAAACTGATAGAAGTGAACCAAACAACTACTCAAACACTCTACAGTGAAATTGTAGATGCCGTCCATCAAGCAGCTTATCAGGGCCTTGGAGAAATAGAATGTACTAGGGGGAGGTAGGAATAAGTGACTCATAGTGGAATAATTCTTCGGCAGGGAAAGTGAGAGACAAGAAAATTGCTTATAATTCTTGATTAAGGCCCAAGGTAGTGAAGACTGGAAACAGTTCCATGAAATTAATAGAGAAGTTAAACAGGGACTAAGAAAAGCAAAAAATTAAGCTTGGGAAAGAGTATGTGAAGATGAAGAACAGAGAACAGACAATGCCAGATCAAAGAACGCGTGGAAAATAATAAAGAACCTCAGACAAAATGAAAAGCAAAATTCATTAGTACAATCTATTAGTATAGATCAATTTAAAATATGTTACAAAGAATGTTTGAAAGAAAATAGGCTTGCATTTAGGAACACATATATCATAGAGCTCAAGGAATCAGATAACATGGAATATATTACAGTGAGAAAAACTGAAAAAACAATACAGTGATGGAAAATGGAAAAGCAGCCTCTCCAGGTTGGTAAGCATTGAATAGACGAAACATGGCCCCAGTTTATTATTGGATCTTCTTGCTCAACTGTACCATACATGTTTAATGGGAGAACCCCAGGACTTCAGAAAAGGATACATCTCTAACATCTACAAGAAAGGTGATTGGAAACAGTGTGCAAACTATGGAGGTATAACTGTTCTTAGAAGCATTGGCCAAGTGTATGGGAAAATATTAAAAACCCAATTGGAAAGAGACCTCATTGATGTGGAGGAACAGAGCGGCTTTCGAGCTGGGCGCTCATATATTGATAACGTCTTTAGTAACTTGGAGACGCACCTTGTGTTTATAAATTTGCGTAAGGCCTATGACACCTGGCCTATGCTCTAAGGCCTGTTCCATTATCTAGTCTATGGATGGGAATGGAGAAACAAAATGTAAATACGCAATTGATTAGAGACGTAAATGATGTGTACAATGATAATACAAGACAAATAAATAAGGGAGAAATGTTCCAGCAGCATTTCCAATAAAGGTTTATGACAGGGGTGCTGAGTAGCCCTGACTTTGTTTAAAATGTATTTGAATGCAGCCCTTAGAAGATGGAGGAAGAAATGTAGAAATTGGGTTTTAAAATTGGTGACTCTTACGTTGTACTATGTACACTTGGTAGATGATCAGGTGGTGTTCGCTGAAGCTAAAGATGATGCTGTATATATGCTGCGGAAATTATATGAAGATTACTTGGAGTTTAGAAGTAAACCTTAACAAGACTGAGTTTATGGTTGTAGAAGGAAGTGATAAAGGTCTGAAACTAGATGATTCAGAAGTAAATCCCTATCAAAAATTCACATACCTCTATTTCAGTCACCAATTCACATAATTCTTCTTCAATGTTTATATATGTGAGAAAAATGCCTGGGAGGAGTATGTAATTCTGGCAAAATTTTACTTTTAATAATTTTAAAAATATTCAAAACACCAGTTTCCTGCCAGCAAATACATTTAAGATATACTTTTGTTCTATCCCCATCATTCCTCCAAATGTAACTGCACCCATAATTTGTTTGCAAGTCCTCTAAAAATTAGCAAAGTACACATTACTATTTGCTGAGTGGCACTCCCTCATCCCACATTGTCACTCTCGCAGCTCCTTTTTCATTATCATTAGCTGTCACTGCAGCCATTACAGGTCAGTCATACAAAGATTTATTCCCTCACCCAATGAAGTAAATTTGACTGAAAATGGGAACAACACACTGCAACATTGAGTCTTGAGAATTTTAGACTGTGCATTTCCATGTGCAATCCAGCTAATCACTTGATGAAGTAATGAAAGTGAATATGAACTATAATTTTTTTAAATTTTTTTTATTCTGCATAATTATTTACAATCCTGTATTGACATCCTGACAAGGAATCAAGACATAAAACATTCGGGAGGGGGGGGGGGGACACAGTATGAGATGTGCATTTAATGTTTGTGAATGAGAATGTATTAAAAATAAAACATCTACAGTGTTTCATAATTAATACATATAAGAAATTATGTTTGTAAATTAAAGTAAATGTATGTAAGTGAATCTTTTGTGAAAAAATGTGATTGTTAAATGTAAGGTAATGAAATTAATTTTTTCTGTATGTTCAGCTGAATCCCGATGATCGAATAGGTGCTGAAGAGGCTCTGAGACATCGGTATTTTGCTCCTCTTCCCAGAAAATTATATGAACTGCCTGATGGTATGTACATACGGTTATTACTTGACCAAGATTGGTCTGAACATTATAATGATATATGTTTAACGATGAAATGTTGACCGAGTTTTGTTATGATGTTATTTCAAACGTGTACCTTTCAGTATTTTATCTACATGTGCTCCAAGTCACGTTTATTTCATTTGATAATATTTTAATCAATATCTGGATGTTGAATGTAAATGTTAACTCTGTTTTGAATAAACAACTTTTTTAATTATTTGCCATTAACAATGTATTATAATACAATTCAACATCAATACAATTTATAATGTATGCTTGTTGTGTTTAAAATTGTTAGAATCAAACATTTTTTAAACTATTAAGATTTAATAATTGCAATTGATTTTTGCAGTTATGTTTAAAAATCCTATGTCTTCCTGGCTTTAAAATAGTGTTATTATGAATCCTTAAGAACATGTTTTAAAAAAAATGAAACTCATAACTCCAAATTGGACTCTTTTCACTTGTTCTTGGACCTTTATAGATTTTTAAGAAAATACTCTTAAATTTTGAAATCCAATTTTGTTGCTGTTGCAGAGACTTCTATCTTCAGTGTTGAAGGTGTTCACTTGTTTCCTGAAAACAGAATTGCAGCAACGAAAACCTGAGAATTAATGCATGAACCATCATCTTGGCCTCCAACATGCGACAGTGGAAACTCCTGCTGCAATTGAAACTTGCAGCTTGTACTTCTTAATTTTTGTTGAGAGATCTGCAGATATTTGTTTTCACATTTTGTTGAAGTGATGATTCTCTGGTTCAGTGGAAGCAGCTCAGGGACAGTTTGTGTGTGTGTTTGAAACTGGTTGCGCACTTATCAAGATCTGTGAATTATTTGCTCATCTCTTGGTTGCAGTGCCAAATGCCAAACAACCAACAGTTTTGTGTTTCTGAAGAATTTACAGTGAAGTTGGATCAGAATCCACTAATTGACATAAGAAATGTACATGATAAATATTTTAAGAAATGCACTTATTTGAAGAGTTTCCAAGTTGCTTACGCTAGTCTCTATAGGTCAGAGATGTACTTTATGCTGTGCCAGCTCTGCTAATAGCCCCAGGTTGGCAGTCTGATTTGAAGACAAACCAACAAATTTTTGAATTAGCAAATACTGTGTGATTATGCTGGTAGTTGAGGAAGAGTAATAATTTTAACCAAAATAAAATATTTAGCAGTGCATTAGAGAAAATAATTTAATAAAGGCTTTCATCAACAAGAAGTTATCACCAGTTGCCATCAACTTTGCACAACTCAGCACGTTCATTCCTTCCAGAGTGCTCAATTAATTACTCATTAATGCTGCATTAGTAAACTGACTTTTTTTGTCAGTCATGTTGTTAATCTGAAGTTGTCTCTCTAGGTCTCTTTAAATATTTTTTTAATGTTAACTTCAGCTGTTTAACTTTTTTTACAAGGCAGTTATATACATAGTGGCAATGTTAAGCATTATTCTTAAATGTATGCTCCTCTGATAGGATGTCAATATGTTTTTTTAAGATGGTGTATTTAATGGTATGAATTCATCTGGTGGTATATGGATGAAAACATTGATGTTCCTGTTTTGATTTTGTTATGACTGTTAAGACAAGGGGCCATGAGTGGAGAGTTTTCCAGTTTGTCACGAAGCTTTGCAGGCTGGAAACTTCACAAAACGCAGTGTGCTTTTTTCACAATGAAGGTGAAGTTGAAGAGAAGTGTATAGCTTCTCCTTAAACTATCATACAAATTCGTAAGAAACAGGGTGTCAATAATGAAAATATTTTAATGATTTGTGTACTTTTTTGTGAAGCCTATATCTCTACGTTGGAATTTTTATTTCTTTTATTCCTAGCAGCCTCGAAGTTGCAATATTTGAATCGTAACATCATTTCTCCTTGGGTTTCTCTTCCTCTGATGTGCCAAATGTTTTGTTTATTAGCAGCACTGCATTTGAACTGTGATTTTCAGTGCTTTAGTGATGGTGCATGACAATCTCCCTCTCTTAAGATGAAACTGATAACTATTATCTCGGTACACTGGTTTTGGCTTTATTTAAAATCCCTTATAGAGAAACAGGTAGTCAGTTCCCTGATTTTAAAGTTAGGCTTATTCTGAAGGAAACATTGTTTCCGCACGTATCCCTCGTGCACCGGCCCCATCCCAAAGTTTCGTCCAAAACTACTTTGTAGGGAAGAATCAAATCAAAATAACACAGTTGTTCCAGAAACATGCAGCTGCTTAGAATAAGCAGTGTAGTCTCCTGTTTGTAAGAACATGCAGGAATCACTCTCAATATTTGTATGAATTTTCTGCACTTTAGAATATACATTGTAATTGATAACATTGTTCTTATCAATTAAAATGTGATATAATTTAATTGTAAATAGCTAATGGTTGTTTATATTGCTGAAAACAAGATTGAATAATTAATAAATGTCTCTTTGTAATATCTACAAATGTAATTTTTATTTAGTCTTCCTTCCAGCGAAGGGCCGGATTCAACCCTGTGAGAGCCTCAGAGCGGTCTTCAAGTAGGAGCCTTTATAATAAAATTCACTCCATTATTCAGTTGTGGGTTTCTGATGGGAACAGAAAAATCTAAATTTGTTTCTACTCAGAATGTGATGTCAAACAACATGAGATAAGCAAAATGTTTTATACAACTTATGCTTTTTGAGAAAGTTTTTGTTTGTACTATTTATTTGTGGTTATTGGTAGTAAAAGGTAAGCATAAAAGTACTATTTTAGTATTTAAACAGTGAAATGTAGATAAAAATATTATGACTGTCACTAAGAATGTTAATAATTTAACACTTGGTGTATCCTTTTTTCTTTTTAGGCAACCAATGTTGTTGTTTTTGTTTAGAATGAAAGTATTAAGAATTCAAATATTCAGTAATCGAAATTGAAATTATGGAATGAAATAAGTAGAGGTGAAAAATATGTATAAAGTATAAGAATACATAAATGAATGGGAGAGAACTTATCATAACATATTAAGATTAATCAAAAAAAATTGTAAATTAATAAGATAAATTCAAAATAAATACAAATAAGGTAAAACATTCCCATTGTAAATATATACATCTTTGTTTCAAGGAGAATGGGGTAAGTATGAATTGAGGTACAGCAGATTAACAAAACAAAAGTTGTCATAATTTGAAATAGACAATAATTAATTAAAAAAAGGAATAAACTGATGTCGAAGGGGGAAGAAACAGATTAAAAACATACATTATACATACATTTATAAGAATAAAGACAAACAGAACATATAACAAGGTATAAAAATGTTTTATAGTGTTTATTTTTAGACAGAACATTGTCATAATTTGATTCTAACCCGGTATTAATGGTATTGCGTGTCTTTATATGTAATGTTCCTGAGATTAATCTTGCAATTTCTGGTTCATTAACCAAAATTGAGGCTCTCAAAATTAAAAGAATGCCCAAAATCAAAGTGATGTCGTCAAATTGCATTTAATTTTGTGCCAGCCTCCCTTAATGTTATTAACATGTTCTTTTACTCTTTCAGAGAATGTTTTGTCAGCCCCACATAAGAGAGCAGTCACTAAATTAGGGCAATATATTACATTTTCTTTATCTGTTGAAGAGCTTTTATCTTTGACATATCTAACTAGATTTTGTTTATGAGGCAATTTATTTCAATTCTTGGGTCAATTTTCATTTTAAAAAAGTTTGGTGGAGAATGTGAGCATCTTACCCAGGTGTTTAAAGGGACACGTAAGGTGAGCCTGTTCAAAGAAGGTTCCCTTTGAATTTTTGAACTCCTTAAGTGTTCAAGAGAGTACCATTAATCTGATATTTTAAAAAGATAGATCTTACTCCTATGAAATCCTTCTTAAAGAAAATAAAATACAGAACATTAGAAAAGTCTATCCTAGATAAATATAGAACATATTTAAAACATCGGCTTTATTTGTTTAGTTTTCCTTTTTTCCCCCTCCTCACTTTCTAATATAGTATTTAATTTCATTACAAAACTGTATTGCGATTTGTGATCCTTATTATGTACTAGTGGAAACCCACGCCATTTATTCGCACTGGAAGTTTAAAGTTGAATCTTCTTACTTATCTGCCTTATTTACTTATTTGTTTATTTACCTTATTCATTGATTCAGGCAGGAAAAGGAATACACTCTGTCTACATTGTATTCTCTCCTTAGTCTGGTCTGACGTGGCCTTCTCTGCTCTGCCTTGCCGTAGTTCAAACCCTCCCTGCTCCTTGCCTCCGTCCTCACCCTGCGCTGTCTTGCCTGACCTCAATACTACTCACTTTACCTTCAGGTTGTAAGTGATGTCAATATTTCAAAAAATATTTTTTTCACATTGTTTAGTTAAACACACACAAAAACGTAAACCTCACGCGCAGACATCACGGACATCCAGATTTTAAATGACATCTTATTTATTTGAGTATTTCAACCGGAAAACAGATGTTTACATGTTATAGAAATATACATAATGAACTCGATTAACAGGATTGTACACAGGCATAGCCTCAGCATTGTGCAAAGTTTTTTATACTGTATACCTATGCTTATATGTATAATTTGTATCAATATTTACAACCTAAATAAAAGTACACACATACAGTCAGTGGCAGATACATGGGGAGGAATGGGAGCCATGCCCCCCTACCTCCCAAAAGGTTTAGTGTTTTTTAGTTTGTTAGCTTCTTTTATTTGGCAAAATGTATTTAAATATTTGTTTGTTAGAATTATGTAATTATTTAAGAAATACTATTGTATAGTTTCGTAAATACATTACAAAACAACACAAATGTTTATTACATAACAAAAATAATGATGTTTCCCTCCAAAATGATCGGCCCTACATTCAATCTGTTAAAATGCAAATAAATGAACTGTATCATTTAATGTGTGAACCTGTAATTCCGAATTTGAATAGTAATATAACCGCTGAAGAAAAACTGTTAGTGCCAGGCCCTGGTAACGAAAAAGGAATAAATCTAGTTACTAAATATAGAAAAACACCTCTAATGTCGCGGCCCTGGAATTTGAAACCGATATTTTAATTTTTGGGGGTACTTTATATAAAGCCTCTTGGACGTTTCCAAAATTTTCAACAGGCTCCAGATATTTTATTAAATTTTGGTGAAAGTGTAGCTCGAATTTTTCGAAAATTGCAAAAAAGAATTAAATCTAAAAAATTGAAGATAAAGAAATTTGGTCCTAGTCCAATTTTCGTCGAACACACTGTATTTTCGAAAATTGCATAGGTTTCTTTTTTTAATTTTTTTTTTCTCCAAACATTTCATAACTACAAAATTGAAGATTGCTCTTTTTGTCTTAGGTTACAGAGAGCTCGCGGGAAATTATACTAATTAACTTTTTTACCGCGCCTTTGATAAGAAGAGAAAATTTAATGAAGAGTTAGAGCGATCTTTGAGAAAATATTTCTTTAAAACATCTTTAAAATGGTCTAAATTTCACACAAAATTACGCTAAAACTACTCACAGTTTCGAAAACTTGTACACGACCTTATTTTAAGGTGTCTTCTAAAAACATATATCAATAGGGAAATTCCCATCTTTAATATTGTAGTTGTAGGAAGACGCCGAAAAACGATTTGAACTTTTGCAATTTTCGAAAACTTAGGGATTTCAGTGAAAATAAGACCTACACCGTTCTTTTAAGCACTTTTAAAAGCTTAATAAAAAAAATTGGGTCCATTTCTGAGAAAATTTTGAAAATGTTTATAAGGTTTTATGTAATGTACCCCCAAAAATAAAAATGTCTGATTCAAATTCAAAGGTCCTCGAGTTCATTTATATCGAAAGCGGAATATCAATTTTAGAGAAAATCCGCTTAGCGTACGGGTGGGCGGAGGAGCGGAGCTTAATTTGAACAAATAAAACAATATTTGCTTTTGCACAAAAAGGTTTGATTCAGGAAATCCTGTTTTTAAATCAGGCAATCCTGTTTTTAAATCAGGCGTAGAATAATTCTTGTATATAGTAAAATAGAATGCAAAGCGTGCAGATTACATGTAATTATAATAAAGAAAAGCAAATGCAGGTCATATATGTGAATAATATAAGAAAATGTGCATAAAGAATATCGCAGTAGAAACATTAGGAAGACAATAGCAGCACGCATAAGTAATAGCGGAACACAATGAGTCATCGTGGGTAATTCACATTAAAATTCTATTAAAGTGCCAAACTAAATGTTTTACATAGTAGTCAATGAAATATTGGAGTAAGTATAGCGGTCAGAAATGTTTATTAGTTGCATCTAATTAACACTAAAGAAACTAGTATTTTATGACTATTTTCTAGAGAGCTACTTCAAAATTAGAAGTTAGTAGTAACAAAATTATGTGGGATAGACTTTAACTGATTGTCGTCACTCCTCTCCAAACATCCCTCCGGTAACTGGATGTTTAAGTTCGGGGCCAAATATGAAAAGGAGGTAATAAATAGCGATTTGGAATAACGCGGAAATGATAACTTAGATGATGATCTGCTGCACAATGACCTCCTTGCCTCCAATCCCCCAAGAAAGTTATTTGGTCACGAAGGTAAGGTGAGTTGCCAGTTTTACGAAGAACCTTAATAACAAGGTTAAAGGAATGTAGCCATTTTCTCTGACTCATTGATAGCCAACCTGAATTCTGCATCAACACAGATATGAGATCGTACTTTCTGAGGCCATAACAAAATCTGAGACACGTATTTTGCACACCTTGAAAGCTTGTCATCTAAAAGGTTTTCAATCCAATTTATTATTACAACACAAGTCGAAAAAATCCCGCTCAAGTGTTGTTATCAACAGTTTACTATCAGAAATTCACGTACAAAACATGTACGTTACTTTACAATTTACCAGATGACATTAAACAACTGAAGTCTGTTCACAAATTTAAGTTAAAAGTAAAATCTTTTCTGCTGCATAACTGTTTCTATATAATTAGAGACTATCAAACTGATTATCAAAAAGAAAAAACATGTTTATTTTAACAAAAGAGTGATACATATTGAATTAGTTTACATTTGCATTGTATAAATTTTAAAAAGACTTTATATGTTTATAACAAATAATGTACTTCAGCTTCCGTGTCAATGAACCCCATCTCGATCAGGGTTTTGTCCTGTTTCCCTGATACATTGAGCAAATGCTGAGATTGCCCCTTTTTTTGCTTCTGGGCATAAATACAGCTTCACTATGCGCACATTTTGTTGAATTCTCCTTTTGCTTGTAGTGGTAGGAGTAGAGGTAAGGGTGAGTAACAATTTTGCTAGCAATGCAGAAAAATCATATCTGTAATTCGTTTACCGATGAAAATAAGTTTTCTATAACTCAGGAACGAACGTGCTTTGTTAAAATTTATTTTTATTTATTTACTTTAAACTTTTACTTATCTTTCAACTATATTTAAAATCATGGGAAGGGATTCTGAAACTCAAGAAAACGTGCGCAGATTATCTTCTCCCCCATACGTCACATACAGTTTTTACTGTTTTCTTGACTAAATAAATCTAAATCTAAATTAAGCCCAAATTACGTGCGTCATCGATAGTTGTATATAATATGAACAAGATTTAACCACTTTTTCGTCACTAGAGCCCGGCAATAAGAGATTTCCTGTCGAAAAATTCGTTACTTTTCGGCACACGATTTCAATACTTTATATTCTTACGAAGAAAGCGTGAGAAAGTAAACTAGTGATGAAATGTGTTCCTTGTTTAAATCCAAGTATAATTTATAAATCTAAGTCTGCATATATAAGGCTAATATAAAATTTAATTGGCTGTCCTGGAGACGCCGCGTCCATGGCAAAGGTGTCGAGGCCATTCTGGGACCTTCCGCAGGGCGTAATGCGAGGAAGGTCGCAGAATGGCGACCGAAACGTCGGCATCTTTGCCATGGACGCGGCGTCACCAGGACAGCCAATTAAATACTGACTCAGGCCGCGGAAGCCTATGCTCTCTCTAATATAACATATATTTATTGCAGTCGCTTATGATCCAAGCACTTAAAAAAAACTCTCATTGTAAGTTTAAAAAATACCAAAATTTAAAAAAAATGGATTTTCATCTCACATTAAGTCAAAATGAATAAATAAAGTAAAAAATCACAGTTCAATATTGTTATAATATAAAAACCAACAAAATGCACAAATACTAGCATTAGGTTTCTATACCAATTTTACATCTACCGTAAATATTCACTTACATCCACTGTATAATAAAATTATCTGCTAGTTCTATTTCGTTGATGTACTAAAGTAATGAAAGATAGCATAACCTATTTTATTCACTTTGGTTATTTATGTCAAACTTTACGAAACAGACCAGTTTCGTAATCCATGGGTCTTGTTAACAACTGTTGAGTCCTGTTAACAACTGTCAACATCAATTCGTCACCTTTCCCAGAACAAATACAGAAATTAAAACGAAAGTTTTTAGCTCACTGGAATTTTTACTAAGTCGATAACACGTGAATAAAACATCGTCGTAAGCCTTATTTTACAATACTCGAATGGTTATCATCAAACTCTGCCTAACGTTCTCGTTTGAAAATGCTCCATTCTCATATTAAAGTGAGATATCTTGTAAAACTCACATTGTTAATAACTATTCAGTGTATGCATTCCAAAAAAACAAAACATTATGACCTAAATTTTGTTTACGCAGCCTAGTGGAAAATTCCTGTTCAAAATTTCGGCCTTGCGTGACGGCCATATTAATACCTCACGGGGCCGTAAACATGATGAGTAGGGAGCGGATTTCTCTGATTTTGAATATTTTTGTCCGTTGCTTCAGGGCATAGCTAAGTCAAAGTTCTTGACATTTCGTTGGAATTGGAAGCTGTGTAGATGAATAAGTGCATATTTGGCCGAAACTTCCTGTTGGTGCAAATTCGTGTAAAGGAGAATATTTTGCATTTTTCGTTATAATAGAGACTTATCTACGGAAAGATATATGTTTTCATAGAATCTATTTGTTTGTGAGCGTTCAATAATTAGAAATATCTCACCACAGTTTGCAATTTTTAAAATTTATTTTCTATAGATGATAAAATAACTGCGCAAATGTAGGATATTTTTTGATCGTCTCCTATATTATTTCGGTAGTATATATAACTTTTACGGCTCTCGCATATTGTTAACTTTAATTGCATAATAAAGTGCATATTCCAAACGTTTTAGGTTATATTTCAGAATTTTTAGGTCATAAATACATATTTTTAAAAGGATATTTCAAGATTTTTTAAGGCTTAAAAATAATTATGAGACTACGTAGATCGCTAATAAAATTGAAATATCGAATCTGAGTTATCAATATTATTGTGAAAATAAAACAGTATCTTCGCAATTTAAAAATGTAATTTTAAGATAATAAATACAATATAAAAATAATTTTATGTAATTCCTTCTTTATAAGAGGCAAATTTTAAAATAAGATATGTTCAATGTTTGAAAACCAAATGAAATATTAATATCCTTGGTTAGTAAATTAAATCAGTGGAACTACAGAATGGCACAAACTTTCTCGTTTGAGCTCGTTTTCTAATTTGTTCCGTCTGGGCTAGATTTTCGGTTTTGGCCCATCCTCTTCCTAGCTACCATCTATCGCCGTCCAAACGTTTTTTTGCATTTTCTGAATTTTTTGGACCTCTAATGATAGAACTGAAACATGCTTTTAAGCATATTGTAAAAGAGCAGAACCTCGCCCTATGTGGAAATATTCGTTGCAAAATCTGGAGCCGTTTTTGAGAAAATCTTGCTTGAGCTTTTTTGAAAATGCCCTTTATGAATCTCATTTTCATTCAAAACTTTTGTGATTTCGAGAAACTTCGCAAGAAATTATTTGAAGCACATGTAAGGTCTTATAAATCCAATAATGTATACAAAATATGTAAATGTTGATGATATGAGAGAAAAGTATAATTTTTTGTAATTTTTGAAAGAATATAGCAAAATGGTATTTGTGTTATCAGTTACAGTACATTTTTAGCTAACAAATAGGAGAACAAATTTGTGTTTTTGAGAAATTATTTTTGATATTTTTTAATATCACACTCATTTCACTCAGTATTGTGCGCAAACAACTAACATTTTCTGTAAAACATTTGCACGACGTTAATGAAAGGAAAAAAAATATTGAAAGATACAAATTTCATTTGGAAAACAAATTTCATTTGGAAAACAAATTTCATTTTAAGGAAAAATCTCTATATCGAATTTTGGAGTTGTAGGAAAACGCCGAAACATTTAAAAGTCGCAATTTTCGAAATTTTAGAGTTAAAAGGGAAAATCGGACCTATGCCATTTTCATAAGGGATTTTGCTCTCTTCTTTCAAAAAAAGGAAAGAAAAAATTGGAGTATATTTAAGAATTTTTTGAATATGTCCCAGTGGCTTCCTGTAAAGACCCCGAAAATTAAATAATGTTATTCAAACTCGCAGAGCTTTGAATATGGCCAGAGAGTATTCAGTTTGGGAAAAAAAATCTTTGAATAGTTAAGGCGCTAGTGTTGTGTGCAGACGGACGGACATTTTGAAACAAACCAATTTTTGGGGATTAGGGGACCCCAAAACGTGTATTTCCGTTGAAATATCGAAATCGATTTTTCGCTGCATTACATTAATTTCTCCTTGACGCGGATATTACTGCGAGTATTATATATTCATGTATTCGAGAAATACAAATAGAAGATGACTTTTAGCTATTAATGAAGTTTATGCTAAAACCCCACCAGCGCACGCCTCGTGAGCTTGTGAACGGCGCGCGGGCGCCGGGCCGGTCGCGTGGCGAGCGGCTGGCCGGGTGGGGTGGGCGGGCGTGCGGGGCCAGTGGAGCGGGCGTGGCGTGGCGTGGGAGGTCGTGTGGCGGGGCCGGCGGGAGCGGCGGGGGGTTGCGGGTCAGGGGACCGGTAAGCGGGCCGTGTTATGGAGGGGTGAGGGCGGGAGGGGGGAGGGGGGGTCTGCGCCTGACACCCGCGTCGCGTCGCGTAGAGTCGAGTCGAGTGGCCGCCAGTGCAGACGGCGCAGAGCCGCTGATCACGCGCCGAGCCGCGCCGCTGCAGCCAGCGAGGGAATGCTTACACCGGAGGCCGTTCACGTAAATACTTGCGTTTCCCTTACTCTAACTACTTCCACTCATAGTAATACTATTTACTTGGAGTAAATACTTATTCTCGTAGTAAGAACGAATGGTTAAAGTAGGGTACACGGTACACCCCCAGAGAAGCTTGGCGGCACGGGGTCACTTTAACCTCTCCTTCAAATTACACTAGGGGCTTTGATAGACATGAATAAAACTTACGGATAGGCGATTTTCATGTCTTGCCCTTCATACGCTTTGTTCCCGTCACATTGTAATGCCATTTTACTTTCAAAGGCAAGCTTTCTCGCTTCGCTCGGCCGGATCCAAGTCACGGCGAGGCTCGGGCCTTCGGCCTGGCGATCACTTTAAACATCCTCGAGTCTATCCACCGCGTGATTACCAATTTGCTTTTATAACACATCACTTTTCCAAGAAAGCCTCCAAAATTCAAACTGCGCAGTTATCGCCGGAGCGGACGCGAAGTGCCGGTTTAAAAAGACTTCCGTAAGTTGTACCGTATACTAGACGTTAGTCGAACGAACATTTCCAGAATTCACTTAAAACGGTGTTCATAAAATAATTGAATTTTTCCTTCATTTCATCAGTAGATATCGCGAAATTTCCAAGCACCGGGTTGATCCCACAAGTTAGATTTGCTGCGTGTCAGCGAATGAGTTTGTGTTTTGGACGTAATTCACGCTTAAATGTGCGTAAATAAACTTAATAATCGTACGATTATAATTATTGAGGCAGTCTTTTAAATTCACTCCCACCGAAAACTCCTGCATGCTCGTAATTACCCCTGAAACTGATTAGCAGGAATTGTTTTCTTTTGACACACACGTGGAAGTTGCGTCTTGTTTAATGCTGTATTATCATCTTCAATAATTTTCACGGATTGCATTTGCGGAAAATTGGCGCCTTTCCAAGCCTTCGCCAGAGAAACTTTAGCTTCCGTGAAGGTAAATAACACACAGCAAACCTAACCTCGCCTAGCTATACGCACGAGGCAAGTACAAGACAAGTATACAGATTTCCCAGCATTCTCTAGTATTTACTTATTTTCCCAGCATTTCCTTCTTAGAATTTAAATGGTTATTCGCTTCAAATTAAGTGAATTCTTTGCTTAGTAGAAGATGCTTTTAGTACTAGTTTCTTCAGACTGTAAGTAAATACCGAAAGTTTTTACTGTAAGCTGTGACTGTAAGTTTTTATTTAACACCTCCCTTTGACATGAAACGGAGCAACTCCTCTGCCTTAATTTTTGTGGAAGGATGGTTCCAGTAGCTATTCACATCTTTCTACCAACCATTTTTGGAGTTTACACGGAAAATATTACAGAAAATTTAGTTGTTAAGATTTAGGAACGGATATAAAACCTTATTTTACTTAGTTTATACTTTTCCGTCTTACCTCATAAGAAGAGAAAGTATTATAATGTGAATCGGAAATCTGCGATTTTTCCGACAGAAAAACTTACTCTCTGGTCCTGGTAACGAAATAGTGGATAAATCGTGTTCCCTTATATAGTAAATGACTTCGTATAACACGTTCTGTTGTCAAAATCTAATCGTACTCGAAAATACAGTGTTTGCTGGAAATGGGACCAGCACAATTTTTTTTACCAACGTGACATACGAGGACAAAATTTAAATTCGAAACTTATAATTGAGGTAGCGAAAATATATATTATTTCGAGAACCGGTCAATAAATGGAGCAAATATCAGCTAGTAAGAGTTGCCACCACTTTGGGTTGTACGCAATCCCAGGGCACTAAATTTAGTCTTATCTGCGGGTTATGTCAGTGTTTCGGAGATAACGTCTTTTAAAAAAATAGCATGTAATTCACAGAAAATACTGGCATTATTTTTCTCCCTTCCAACTTAACAAAAACGAAACATAAACAAAAGGATAAATTTTCATTATGGATTCTATATGAACTTTCAAAACTTTTTTTTACTCAAATCAAACAAAAATGTGTTCATTTCTACGTCTTATACTTTCTTAATTGTAGAAAAGGAGATATTTCCGTTCATCTTGAAGTGGAATAGGCCTTAGGTTTCGAAGGCGATAAAAACATCGCGAATACATTTACTTAAATTTATTCGTGAAAAATGTCAAAGAAGATAGCTAGTATTGTTATAAACAAAATGTATAGTTTGTTTGGAATTGAGTTAGATTCGAATTTAGTTGGAAGAAAAGATTTTTCTTGCAGACTGATAAATAAATGTTAATATGTAGATAATATTTTAAACCTCCGCTTTACGTAATATTATTTCATTCTCTCCGGCCCCTCCCATCACGTGATTTAAATTCTCAGGGTGAGAAACTATAGACAGGTGGCTGGCAACTCCAGATAGTAATTAAGATGTAATAATTAAAGTTAATTTAATTATATGAAAGAAGGGAGAGTGAGCTTGTAAACTTGCAATATATAATAGAAACAAAAAATCACTATTAAATGTAGTGGAGAGTCTGAATTTTGTTTTACCAGAATTATGTAAATTGTGCAATGTAAGGAAAATATTAGGCATGGATGCTACAGTATTTAAAGTTAAGTAATTTTATAGTGTTATTTCTACGACAACAAATGTTATGAAACGTCATTCAGATGTAGAAACGTCATTCAGCGTTGATAAACGATTTGTGACCCATATTTAGCAATAAGGTCAATTTTATTTGATATGTGCCTTCCGTTAGAAGAAGTTATAAAATTGACATAATGTGTTGACATTGAAGAATTTTGAGTGGTTTCGAAAAAATGGTTGAAATAACTTTTTAGCCGTTTACAAGTAACGTGGCCGTCACAGACACGTAATAAAATGTTTAGTACTATGTTGTATCACCACGAGTTTATTTATCTATTGCATTGTAATTGCTTCAGAACGTAAATGTACGTCACTATCTGTGAACTTCTTATAGAAGTCGCGGAGAAATATAGTAATTCAAAATATCGTTGTCCATGTTATCACCGCAGGAAGTCTATCCCTTCACAAAGGGCACGGTGAGGGACAAGAGTCGAAACCTACAGCTGATTTGTCCTTGCAAATAGGTATTTACTGTAGCGAATGTTTTCTCATCAATTCTTGACAAAAACGCCCATTTCCTTCTGCATTCAGAATTCAACTTGTATGTAACTTAAGGTAGGGATCCCAGAATTAAGTAAACGTGCAGAGAGTACACTTCTCCTAGTAGCACGTCACACACACCTTTTAAGTCTTTGTCGTTAAATAAATTACTAATCGTTTATTAATCATAAATGACGAAAAGGTATTTATTTTCTTTGAGTAATGCATTAAAAATCTTGAAATCTATATATTTATTACGAAAAATCTACGTTTATGTATAAATTGTTGTAAACTACGGATGTAATTTTTTGCATATCGGTTAGTAGTCAGTATTATTCTAGATAACTATTTGTAGTGAATGCTGTGAACCTTTTATTTTAGATTGCACAACAAGTTATTTATATTTTAAAATTATCTCGCTATTCTAATTAAATGAATAAAAACATATTTACGAGACTGGCAGATGTCCAGGCAAACAAACATAGATACGTAGTTGTATGAATAAGCAATGAGTGTTGCGTATCATTTCCTGCTAGACTGGAGTTTGTTTACGTCGTCAAGGTTACGCGCAGCTACTCTTTGCCCATGCGGGACCTCGCTTTGGCAGTAGCGAAGCTTCCGCAATAATGTCCTTCGTAACGAGTACAGATTGATAATTGCAGGGGCGTCCAGAAGGAGTGGGGAGAAGGGGTGGGGAATCTGGGGCATCTTGCCTCAGGCCTCTATTTAACAGGGGCCCCGAGTTGTTTTTTTCATTCAAAAGAAATGAAAAACATTCTTGTTAAACAACGGAGACCAAAAATGATTAACTTCTAATTCATTATTATTATAGTGGTATCTATCCATTCTTGACGACAATCAAAAAAACATATTTTTTAAGTTACATATGTTTGTTACCTTGTCTATAAACCACGACCTTTCGTGACCCAATTGCTCAATCTTCAGGTGTACTGTAATACCATGAGTTTTTTTTCTTGCATCATACTTCATTTTTCCCTTGATAAATTCTATTTCAATATGTACTTTTATAATATTATAATACATTTTAAATCTTATGAAAAAACATGTATAATTAGTAAACATTCTGTATTACATATATAATTTAAAAAATTGTGTTTTAAAAATAGTGTTATACATATGTAACTTAAAAAATACTGTTTTGATTGTCGTTAAAAATAGATTGATACCATTGTATAAAAATGAAAATATATGTATCTCTAAACCACATTTAACGCTGTAAGTTATTTCTGTTGTATGGAGAAATGAATACTGTTTATTAATTGGCAGTGGAGGGAGTTTCTGGTTTGAAATAGGGCCCTCTCGAAGATAAACTGCCCCAGACACCTGGTTTTCTCTGGGTGCCCCTGGATTATTGCGACCCTTTCATTAGCCCTGAAAGGTACTAATTTAAGGAAATTAAAATGGGGAAGTCTTAATCAATGATATACGCACGTTTATAATAGCGACACGGCGAACATTAGGGAAGTCAAAAGAAAAAATAGTTTATGAAAGGTTTAAATATGTTTCTCATTTATAAAATAAGTTTATTGTCATTGTCTTTCTAAAACGTGTTTGTTTGCTCCCATACTGACCATTTTTCCATTTAGGAACCCAATTATTATAAATTTAGAGGTGTTAAAATAGCACATACATTATCGTATTACTGGAAACAGTTACGTAATATTGAGATATTTCAGTGTCTGCACTACTTAACAACTCAGCCGGGGTTATGTTTTTTGTCTGTCTGTTTTTTGGCCTTTATCATTGAGTTGCACAGATAACCTTTCTACTATAATTGAAGAAAGGGTTCAATTTATGAATTCCTTTAAATCTATATCCATTAAGAATGTCAGTGCTTTTTTTTAGCAAGTTCAGATCTACATCTACATCTTCTTCTTCTTCTTCTTCTTCTTCTTCTTCTTCTTCTTCTTCTTCTTCTTCTTCTTCTTCTTCAAATGTACTCGGTTATCAAAAAAGCTTCAATTTGATACCATATTCCTGAAAAATTATAACGAAGATTTCATTCAATTGATGTTCGTCCAATGCAGACGGTCTCTTCAGGAGACTAACAGGATAGGACGGCACAATAGATGAACTTTAACCGCTGCTCAATGTAAATGTTTATTTTGTTTTTTTCTGAACGTTAGATAAAAATTGAACCGATCTTGTTTGAGTCCTACCAGCTGAGGCGACTTATATCACTGCAGTGCCTCTGACAAGGAAATCCTAGGACTCGTGTCCCGCCGATTAAGAGGATTTTTGACCCTAGCTAATGGGTCGAATTCTAGTGGCTGGCTGCTCTGATCTGTACATTTCCGTGTCGGTTTATATGGTCGGTATATGTTTCCGATCGGTTTCTCTGATAGTCATATTATACGTTTTCGTTAAATATCGTTTTAATAATAAAACTACATCCCAATAGGACTAATTTTAAACAAATTTACACATCAAAACATACGAACTAATTTGAATAACTAATATTTGCTAGTGAAAAACAGTAACCAACCAAACACGCGTGATAAGGTAAAGGAAAATGACACCTTGGCCTTCCGCATCTCAATAGATGAAGGCATAGTTGATTCTTCGGGCCCTCGTAACCGTGTAACTCGCCCACGCCGAAGGCAACAAACCCGCGTCACTTCCTCGTTAGCCAATGGCGTTCGCTCTCAATAGAAGGAAGCGAACGACTTCACCTAATGGAGGGAACCCTTTACCACCGCTCGGCACGGCACGGCACGGCTCGGCACGGCACGGCACGGCGCGGTGGACCGGGAGGTGGCTCAGGGCATCAACTGATATTACAGTGCCTCTAATCCGGAGGTCTTTGGTTCGTGTACCGACAGTGGCAAGAATTATTATGCACTAGTTTGTCAGCAGGTCGAATTCAGTCGTCTGGACGAGAATTCTAGCGGCCGGCTGTTTTGATTGGTAGTTTTCCGAGGTTTCTCCGATCAACGCCAGATAAATGCCGGAGCAGTACCCTCTCAAACGGGCGCGCGATCTTTCCTTCCTCTTCCTTGTCTTATCCTCACCCCTTACACACACACACACTAACATGCCCTACACTACCACACACGCCGGGAGTGCGGTCGGGAGCTTAGAGCTTGTCCCGGCTGGGGCAGTGCCTTGCGGGTGAGATACCTGGTTGGGGAAATACCCTGCTAGCCGACGGCAGGTCGGTGCAGGATCTTGCCATCCAGCAAATATTTGCAAAACGTTGAAATTTCTTGAACATACTCACCCATCTACCACATAATTGGACATAGAGATATTTCTCTGAATTAAGTTTGTTCTGCGTTATTAGTTGCTCAATTAATGTGATGCATATTTTTTTAAGGCAATTGCGCACAATTTCAATTGAAAAGGGCGAATTTAAAACAAATTTGTAAACAAACTTTTCTACAAAACAGCACTCTTTTAGTCACGGCATGAATCTTATTTTGATTAAATGTTTTGGCTTTTCAAAAATTACGTATTTTTTTTATGAAGCGTATTTTTTTTAAATACCCCTGAACACGTTAGTGATATGATCTTCGAAGGAGATCAAAGTTTATGAAACATTTATTTACGAAGAAACCAGGACAGACAAATACAGAACCCCGAACAAAACAAGTTGGCCGTGCAGCCGTACGAAGATAAGGCTGTCCAACTTATCAGGCCTGGGCATTGACGCGGGTGCCAGGGCGGTGCGTGGCGGCGATTGTGCTGCTAGGCAATGCGTTGCCAGACCACTGTCGCGGGGGAGCGCTCTCCAGGGCCTTTGAACTCCCATGTAACGTGGTGGAAACCATCACAATGGTGCACTCTCCTGCGGCACCTTCTTATAGGAACTAAAGTACGAACCGCTTCCAACGATACAACGTGCGTGGTTACTGGACGTGCTTGGGTTCGCGACACGCGTTACAAATGTTACAAAATATATCGTCGATGTTTCCGCTTTCTTCAGAGGATTCTTATATGTATATAGTATGAATAATTGAACATTTATAAGATACTTATCGTATTTCTCACAAATTAGCCAATTTGTGCGTGGGAAAGTTGGCGAGTCGAACCTGCAGTTGCACCCGGCGACACAAGCGCCTACTATAGTAGCGCCCAGCTTTATCATTCCAGTTTCCACCTTCCAGCTGGTCAAAGGCTATGTTGCCGACGTTCCGACCATCTTATCGTGGCCTTCCTCAGGGCTGGTCTGCAGACCAGCAGTTGGCAGAGCACTCGGACAGCCAATATTATTCACATGACTCCGGCCTCGGAAGTCTAAGACTTTAAGGTGTGCCCTTCTTTATCCTCCAAATTTATTTTTTTTACTACATTTTTTTTTTTTATTTTACAGATTCAGCAATCTCTTTCTCGAACCGTCCAGAAGAGTTGATTTTGAGGAGAAGCGGTTCATTGAAGCATGGTGGTAACCAAGGTAAGATATTTGTCAATGATGAAGAGACCTGAAAAGTGGATATAGTATTATTCTTTTGCAGCTATCGTTCTTTGTAGATGTCTCTTTGGTCCTTTTATGCACCATATGAGTACATTGTCAACTTAAATAATTTCTTATAATCTTTTGGAATATGTATATGTATGATAAATATACCTAGGAGTTTAATGAGATACGCGCCGTCATATTTAAGGTTTCTTAGAAATCTTAAAATATTTAGCGGAATCACTCTTCCGCTTAACCGTGTGTTAGACTGGCAAACATTTTTGACTTTCGACGTAGTAATTATGTTTTATGAAAGGTTTTTTTTTTCTAGTGCAACGTGAACAAAGTATTCTGCGTGTAAAATTATCAAAGTTATTAAATTAAAATTATCACAGAGGTTTAATTATCGATGTCACATCACTATCGTGCAGTTTTTACATAGTCTTCACGATGGAACATGTCACGGCGTTTCGCGTCTTTCTCGGTCGTACCGCTAGACGTTGCATAATCGCGACCATCGTGAAGACGAGGGTGTACAGTGGCGGCTGTATAAAAATCGCACTATAACAATGCGACATCGATGTGATGAGTCAGTAAAACATCGATGTTTACAAATATCGATGTTCAACATTAAAACATCGATATTGATAATACATCGACCAAAAGCCATCGATGTTTTAATTTTGAACATCGATATTTGTAAACATCATTGTTTTATTGATACATCACATCGACGCTGATGTTTTATCGACACATCACATCGATGACGCATCACTGTAGTGCGAGTTTTAACTAACTGCCTCTCTATTCCCGTCTTCACAATGGAACATGTCACGGTATTTCGCGACTTTTTCGGCGTGCCGCTGTACGTCGCATGGTCGCGACCATCTCAGTATACTTGATGCGAGAGCCGGTTGGTGCGTTTCGCAGGCGGCGCGCGCGGCGGCGGAGGCGGCGGGCCGCATGGCGCGGCTGCTGCTGCGCGGGCGAGGCGACGCGGCGGGGGCGGCGGAGGCGGCGACGGCGGGGGCGGCGGCGGCGGCGGCAGCGCAGACACACAACGCGCGGGCGAACAAGGTAAGCACCACCTTCCACTCTGTGCACTCTTGGCCGCTGCACACAAGATGCTTCTATTGGGTACCCGACTATAAATTTTTATTTACTTTTCTCAGTTATTCACAATAATTTGCAAGGACTTCGTTAAATCTAGCATCCAACTTTCTCAAAACTATACCATAGAACAAGGGAATTTTAGGCCACTTTGAGACAATTTCACAAAATTTCAGAACTCCGACCTACTACAAGAACAAATGTGCAAGTGACCCAACTTCTCAAAACTCAATAATTCCTTCGGCACAATTTTGGGCTAATTAGTAACACTAAAAACCATATTTCTGATATCTCACAATTCCACGAAATTAAACATTAAGCATTCTAAAACAGGATTGGTGAAGCACCAATTTCCCAATACCCAAAGTTTTTTTTATATAATCGAAACACGCGACTTTAAAGGGGCCTCTTTGACAGACTTCAAACTTTCAATACTCAGTCCGAACAAGAAAAACAACAAAAAATACTGGCCACCTAACTTCTCAACTCAGTGTTTTTGGATCTTAACTCTAGGGAATTGGGAACTTGGAACTTTTTGTATTCTATATACTATTACAAAACATTCCTTTTATGTACAGGAATAATTCATTTTGGCTCTTCTTAATTTCCTACTTCATTTTATACTATAGGTGATCCTGTCCTATTTGATCCCCCAATTGACTTTAAACAATACAGATTCCTGTCTCTGAAACGTCTGTAAAGAGAAACAAAGGTTTTCAGTGTCACGGGTTCTCAAAACTCGATGAGTAGTTAATATTTCTTTTGATCTATCAAACCATTTCCGATAAGCACTATTCCACATATATTCCATGCTCCATTTTTTTTCGTCTTCTTATGTCTGTTAATGGGGATGCTATTTTGCACGTATTTACTATAAATTTAATATAGTATTCAACAAGTCTGTAGAAGTGTCTTATTTCAGTTTCGGGAATAGGATATTATACTTTACTCATGAGTGAACTATTATCTTCTTTCGCCACCTAATGTCTTTGATATTCAACTTCCTAAGATTGTGATTTTATAGCTGTACCATCTAGTTAGATAACTCCTTTAGGTTGATCATTGAAAATCCTTCTTATTAGTCAACATAACTCATGATTATTGATTGTATTGAGCATATTCAGGGGGCGCTTCATCTCTAGTCAATGAAACTTCCGTCAGTAATGAATATTCATGTGGCCTTGAATCTCGCGAAACAGGCTTGATGCTTATATCCTTCAACGTGAGATAGAACGGTTTCATCTACGTCCATTTACGTGATGAGAATATGTGAAAATGCTAAGGTTAAGGGTGTGATAGAAATTGAGATTTCTGTTTGAAACGAGGTGGTACAGACCCAAGGTAGAGATCAAGATATTACTCAAATCAATCCCATTGTGCATATAACTGGATCTCTGGTGTCGCAGATAAATTTGGGTCCTAAACAAACGCACACATCTAACGTTCGACAAAAATACCAAATTGAAAATGAAACAAGGATAATGGTAGCTGAGAAGCTATAAGCGAAAATCCGAGCATGGTCTCACCGCATTAGGTATTACAAAAGTAAAGTAGATTTCCGTGTACAGAATCCATGTTTTGAAACAGACGCGAAGAGATTCTATCGCAATCTGACTCAAAAACCCAAAGGCATTGCTGGCTCCCCTGCAAAAGCAGCACCAACCACTAATGAAGCTGTAAATTTGACGGAAGTATGGGAATCAGAGACATTGTAAGTGTGGCAAGAAGCATTGCAAAGAAAAATGTGCAAGACACGCAGTGTAACATAGACAATGAGTTTCTGATGCTATTTAACCTGAAATGATAAATCGGGAAGAGATAAACCACCCCGTGGCTAATATCAAAAGAGAATGAACAAGGTGCAGATCAATAAAGATAAAAGATGTTTAAAAGGGGAAGAAAGAAGCCAGAATTGGAAGCAGTTCTAATAGATGTCCAAGATTAGGTGTTGAGAAAACCACACTATTATAAAACGAGTCTCGAAATTTCCCAAGAGTGATATGTGCTGCATTTAGAGGGGATCTAGGAACAACTAGAAATCATTGACCATATAGTCTCAGCTTGTCTAATTCTATCTAAGACAGAATACTTGAGAATACACAATAGTGTTTTGTTATTATTACTGGTAGATCTGTATCGCCCTCGAAGTTCCAAATACATGCTCCAAGTGCTACGAACACCCACCAAAAACGGAGCCGGGGGTTTGACTGTGTGTAATACTGTACGACCAACACATTCAAACTGATTGCACAATAGCGAAAAAACAGATATTGTTATCCGGGTTTTGGAGAGAAAAAGAGTGTCTACTTATAGATGTTTTTTGTGCCGACGATCAAGGAGGCAGAGAAACGCCTTAAGCACAAGGGTTTGCAGTCGAGATCAACCGAATGTGTGGCGTATAATCACAAGTCGTCCTGATAGTTTTCTGAGCTCTGGGATTTGTTCTTCAAAATTTGTGTAAGAACTTGGTTTAACTCCTACGTAATTTAAGAAAGTAAAGTGCAAGACATTGCTTCACTGGGAACAGCTCACAATTTATGCAAAGTATTAAAGAGACATAGACAGTACCTTGATTTGCTTCTTAGGAAGGTGATTGAATCATGGAATATATTTTATATTTAAACCACTCAAAACATCTTTGGTCGTGAATTAGAGGAATAAAATTTATTATTATTATTATTGTTATTATTATTATTATTATTATTATTTATTATATAAAACTGACTAATAAACAATAATTTACACGAAGAAAAAATAAAATAAATTTCTATAATCTTATTCGGAACTGAATGTATGCACAAATAAGATCACACTGCACTGTTCTTCACTTAACTGCACTGAACTTTACTAGAATACTTACAAATCTTCCTTCGTTATTTCTCTGCACTACACCACACCTCAGGTCACAATATACTAGCATTTATACATCGCTGTATTACCTACTCTTTGTATTCAAGGCAATCACTCACTTAGGAATACCCTAATTTCCTAAACTCTTGAACGCTGCGAGGACAGGGTTTGAAGGTTTTTGCAGGCAGTCTATTCCATTCCGTTACTTGATTTGTGAAAGAAAATTCCCGGTCCTAAATCATTTTGTGTGTTTCCCTCTCCTGATATATGTAGGAATACATAGCAGCCGATTAATTTTTTTCCCAGCTGGATGACTACCATAAACTTTACAAAAAGCAGAGAATTGCCATTGATCGCCTGTTTTCGAGTGAATATCACTCTGTATTTTTCTTGTCCCTGAACGTAAATTTAGCTTCCTTCCGCTGAATTCTTTCCAAATTTTTACACTTCATAATTTTGTTCAGATCCCAACAAATTTGCTCCATATTCCATTATGGGACGAAGATGCGATAAATAAGTAATTTACTTCGTCTTTGCTGCACTTTTTTAGATGCGCATTATAAAATGAAGAGATGTCAAATCTTTCCGTAAAAAAAAAAAAAAATCCACGTGACTTTTTCATTTTAATTTACTGTCGAAATGGATTCCTAGGTACTTACACAAGGAAACTCTCGGAGTAATTTGTTTGGCAGTAATTATGATCCCTTCCAAAAATGATAATTTGCTTTTAGAGCTACTTTTTCTCATGCCATTATTTTCCGCCCAGTAACATAACGTATCAAGATCCCATAGCAGCATTTCTTCATCTTCTTTCGAATTCATAATGCGATATTTTATGCAATAGCCTGCAAATAACCGGACATTTGAGATTGTGTGTTGGCAAATCATTGAAGAACGCTAGAAATAGAAGTCCAATGACGCTCCCCCGCGGGATTCCTGACGTAACGATTGCCCCGGAAGATAACTTTTGCCCAATTCGGACTTTGTTTCCTCTGTCGCAGAAATTCGCTAATCCACGTCACAACTCTGGTGTGATAATCCACTCTACTAACCTTTGCTCAAATGTTGAATGTGTTTGAACTATATATTTTCATTATTATAATTAATTTTGTCCAAACACGTCTATTGTGTTCCAGATATATTTAAATGACAAAAGACTATAGATTTATTACATAAATTTTATACGTTTAAAAGGCTATATTTTAGATGGCTTTCATCTCTGGATGTTGAATTTATACACTTCTTTTACTTAAGAGTTTTGAATGTTGACTATGGTATGAGCCGCCGTCACTAGCCTAATTGCTTAACAACGTGAGGTCACGGGGGTTAACCATCTCCATACATCGTAGATTCCTATGTGTGTGACTGTATTGAGTAACTGGGTTAAAGAAGGATTATTCACACAAAGATGATTGGTACGTTCCCCCCCTCTTCTCTCTCCTCCTCATTCTCTCTCTCTCTCTCTCTCTCTCTCTCTCTGTAGTGTAAGTGTGCATGTGTATGTATATATGATATATATATATATATACATACAATTAGTTTTGATTTGTAACACTTGTTATATAATATATATAAATAATTTATATATATATAAATATTTAAAATATATATATATATAAAACATTGTTACAAATCAAACTAATTTACCATATATTATGTCATACTCTTATACCGAAATAACTTACAATTTCTGGAGCACGTGTCATTTTTGCGAGAAGATGTTTTTAATATTGCGATTGTGCGAATTATCCCCTCCAAAAGGGACTTGCCTAGTCAACAATGAAAAATCATCAGAGCCATTGCTAGTGTCTCGCCCAGATTCCAAATATGTGGTTCAATTTTCTCTAACGTGAGTCAGGTGTGAGATAGGACGATTTTGATATGGTGATTACGCGAGTGCTCAACGGCAACGCAGTTTCTTCGGAACTGCTGTTGCTGGGGATGAAATCAGCTCTTGTTTTGACTGGCGTATCTCAAAACAGATAAAGAAGAGGCAGAAGCAGAAGAGTTTCTTATGAACCTTATGTTCCTCTCGTTGATCCAACATGATATTTCTCCCTATACTTCGTATAGAGCTTGTATTAATTGTCTGGAGAAAGCGAAGGGTAAAGCAAACTGATGAGTATTCCAGCATCTGTAATATTTCTAAAATTCAGCGCAGCAGAAAATAAAAACAAGGAAGGAATATTTCCAATCCCGAGAGATTTTAAAAGAAGATGCGTTCACACAAACCATGAATCGAAAAGATCAAGATGCTAGGTCTAGTCTTCTCGGTTTGTGTGAATATATCCTAGTGGGAAACAAAACTTCAGATTTTGTTACTGGAATCAAGATAATTTTGCGTACGTTTCAAAAATTGGGCTGCAGAATAAGCTGTGGACTAGCTATTACGCTAAGCTCTATTCGCAAGTTTCCAGCTAGTGCTATATACTCGTACTTTGATAGGGTGTAAATGGCCACTGAATTTGAGGCAGCTTAAAGTAGTAGTAATGAATCAAATAGTACATTTCTGTTTGTTTAGAAATTTTATTTTTCTAAAAGGGAGCATGGCCAGCCAAGAGTGAGTCGCGACCCTTCGTGGGGTTTTCAGACGCAAGCTTCGAATGGTGAAGGGCTGGTGGCGGGACTGCCTCTGGTGCTGCTCAACCAACGAGCACTTACTGAATGGAAAGAATGCAACGCCGTTTATACTAAGGATTTTATTTCTTGGCGCGTGAGGGCCTGTCTTCATGATGGCATAACTCACGGCATTTCGCGTCTTTTTTTGGTCGTGCCGCTAGGTGTCGCATGATCGCTAGCAGTCGCTCGATACGGTCGCGATCATGCGCGACCGAGAAACACGCGAAATGACGTGAGATATCCCATTATGAAGACAGGGCCACACGCGCCAAGAAATGAAAACCCAGGTATAACCAAACCCCTTTTTTAAAAGTTCTTTTACGCTAACTCGTAACATGTTATAGCCACCTACTGACAACAAACGTGTAATGGAGAAATCCTCCTTCAATCTAATCAGTCGACAGTCGTAGTCAGTCAATGCCTTTCATCCCTTTGGGGATATCCTCTTCAGAATGGTATCTTTTCTCAGAAAAGTGACAAATGAAACTTGTCGACTTATTATTTTTCTGCACTGATTTTGGGAGAAAACTCGTTCGCATGACGTTTGAAAAGTACACATCTAGCTCTAATTTACACGAAAGAAAGATTAAACTTTTTTTTGAGCTTATGGGCCAAATTTGATTTATTTTCGGCGCATATGTGTAAACACCTCTTTTAATCTAATCATTCACAGTCGTAGTCAGTCATTGCCCTTTATGCCTTTGGCCAGGTGCTCGGTGCCGTTAGTTCTCGGGGTTCTCAGTGAGTCACCCATCTAAGCACACGCGATGTCTCGAATTGCTTAAGCCAGGTGACAGTTCATGGAACATGGTTAAAGAAGTTGCTTAGCGACGCCGGCCCTGTCCGTTGGGTGAGGTTTCTCAGGGCACGAACTAATGCCACTGCAGTGCATCTCTCCTGGCGGTCCTATCTATACCAGGTGAATTCCGGAGCAGTACCCTAACAATCGGACCACGGTCCGCACGCGATCTTTCCTTCTTCTCCTTTCTTTTCATATCCTCACCTCTTACTTACACACATTTACACTAAAATGCACTACACTACCACACATGCCTGTTGAACGCTTAGAGCTTTTCTCGCCTGGGGCGGTACCCCGAGGGTGGGAGATACCTGTTAGGGGGAATCCCATTAGTCGGTGACGGAGCTGACCTAGCGGGAGATCACTGCACTCTCCAAGGTAAACGCATGTACTATACTTGCGGGACTAATGAGCTTAGCACTTGTCGGGCCCAAACTGTCTAACAAATCAATTATCACTCAGATAGCATTGTTTAACCTGGAAGACTTTGACAGTGCGTGGTTAAGCAATGGCGCAAGAGGTTAGCGCTGACTGAGGTGCTTGCGCGTCACGCAGTGCTTTACAGCGCAGTTCCGTGTGGCCGCAGTAGTGCAATGCCGCCTCACTTCCCTGCTGTGTAGTCATCCCTATCCTTTCGGACATCTATGGCTGATCTGAAAATAGAGAAAAGAACATGGTCAGGAAAGACAATAGCCGTTCGGCGCGCTTTTGGCGTTGTTTACCGCAATTTTCATGCAAGTATTGGCGTCTCGCCTATTGTGGCATAAAAAAATCGTAGGCTTCCGCGACCAGAGTCATGTGGGTGATCTAGGCTGTCCGGGTGACGCCGCGTCGAAGGCCGAGTTGCCGACGTTTCGACCATCCTGTCGTGGTCTTCCTCAGGGTTGGTATGACACCAGCTCTGAGGAAGACCACGACAGGATGGTCGAAACGTCGGCAACTCAGCCTCATATGACGTCATACCAGCCCTGAGGAAGACCACGACAAGATGGTCGAAACGTCGGCAACTCAGCCTCTATGACGTCATACCAGCCCTGAGGAAGACCACGACAGGATGGTCGAAACGTCGGCAACTCAGCCTCATATGACGTCGTACCAGCCCTAAGGAAGACCACGACAGGATGGTCGAAACGTCGGCAACTCAGCCTTCGACGCGGCGTCACCCGGACAGCCCAGATCACCCATATTGTAGCATATCTCTCGGGCGCTTGTACGTGGCCGTGGGATCCGGCTCGTACAAAGATAAATTTATTACAATGTCATTGTTTGACGTGTTTATTTTGGAAAAGAATTTTTTTTAGCTAGGTGCTTGCCGCAGGTGTGGTCGCGCGCGCTGGGCAGCGCGGCGCGCGCCGAGGGCCCGCAGCGCACGCCGCTCTACGAGCTGCACGTGGCGCAGGGGGCCAAGATGGTGGCGTTCTCGGGCTTCCTGCTGCCGGTGGCGTACGCCGCCCAGGGCATCGCCGCCTCGCACCTGCACACGCGCAGCGAAGCCTGCGCCTCGCTCTTCGACGTCTCCCACATGATGCAGACGGAGGTACTACGTTGCTTCTTATAGAAGCTCTCTACTCGAGAGAAAAAAAAAAATATACAATGTTGCCCCAATTTTCTTGTGCATGTTTCTTTATGGTTTTAGAAAACAAATTATCTCAAATCCTATTTGTTTATAAATAATTCGCAGAAAATCGGGTTTTTACTTCAAACATTATAACTCCATTACTGATTGATTTATTGTGATAATTCTTTATTAATTAATCACAATTGAATATTCCAGAGAATGATACAGAATTGTAAAGGTACTGTGAAAACTAAAAAGTCAGGATTTGATACACAATTTTGCATCAATTTTGTTTTTTCTTGTGCATTTTGTTTCTTTATGCTTTTAGAAAACAAATTATCTCAAATCCTATTTGTTTATAAATAATTAGCAAAAATGCGGGTTTTACTTCAAACATCATAACTCTATTACCGATTGATGCATTTTGATAATTCTTTATTGATTAATCACAATGGAATATTCTAGTGAATGATACAGAATTGTAAAGGTACTGTGAAAACTAAATAGTAAGGATTTGATTATTTGAGAAAAAAATATTGTATCAAAAATTATTTGGCAGTTTTCAGTTCACAAACTGAAACATTTAGTGACATTAATTATTCTAATTCATTACCTAGAGCAAATCATGTGTTTCATGTTGCAAAAATAATCTTTATATTATATTTATTTATATTTAATATTTATTTATCTTTAATAGTTTGTGTCTCATGTTTCACATGCTTGAATAAGCTGAAAATTCCCAATTCGGGAATTGCGTCTGAAGTTGATTCGCTAAGGATTTGACAGTTGGCACTAGAATTGAGATGTAGAATAAATGTACAGTGGAGAAGATATTGTAATCCTGCAGTACAGGCTGCGATTTTCGAAAGACAAAGTCGTCTTTGTGGTGGATTAAACGCACTTATTTATTTCCACAGAATGTTTTGTTTTTTCAATTAGGAACTAAAAATTCTGGTTCATTTTCAGTCTTCCATATTTATATCACAGTTATTTTCACACAGCTTTCGTCACTACTGATTATTCATTTTCACACGACTCACTTCCTTTACTCTGCTACTGACCATTGCAATGATGTCACTCGATCGATTTGCACGACTTGCTATAGAATCTCCACATGATCCACTTGCTCAATAATCTTCACTTGATCCACTAACTCAAGGATCCACCACTTGTTCGACTTGCTCAAGGATCCACCACTTGTTCGACTTGCTCGACTTGCTCAAGGATCCACCACTTGTTCGACTTGCTCGACTTGCTCAAGGATCCACCTCTTGTTCGACTTGCTCAAGGATCCACCGCTTGTTCGACTTGCTCAAGGATCCACCGCTTGTTCGACTT